CCCCCCGCGTTTAAGCCTTTAGCCTCAGAATTGAATATAATCATTGATATGTAATTGTAGTCTACCCTTGCTGCTTCAGTCGGACATAATCTAGGGCATAATCTATAATTCCCTTGGCGAGAGAAGTAGTGTCGACGCTAACTGGGGATTATCTGGATGTATATGCCTTCCTTACCAGTAACATAGCTCTTACCATCAGTATTTATACTCCCACCCCCCAATCCCGAGACCACGCGTCAGTGTCACAATTTCATCCCCCGCTCACCTACACCATCAGTAGCCATAGTATCCAAACTCGACGTCGGCCCCGCCTCCTCTGGCGCCATAGGGCCCGTATCAAACCCTTCTTCTCCATCAAAGTGCCTACAAGGAGTGAACACCCGTTAGCCCAAGTTCCAGGTCCCTCAACCACAGAACCGAATCACAAGAGAAGGAAAGAAAAAAAGAATATACAAACCACCCTCGTTCAGCCCCCTGACTCAAGAACTCACAGTCACCATTCCGCACACAATCCCACCCACCAGCGACACCTTTGCCCCCACGCCAATCCGGGACTGCTGTACCAGCCCGAAGGACTTTCGTCCCCCGTGCAAGTGATGGTATCTCAACCTGCTGGGCGGGAGAAGCATCACGCCGGTCCCCGCTCTCGCGACGGCGGCGGCGAAAGGTGCTCAGCCCCGCTGTGAACACCGCGAAGTCCTCGGTGTTCGGATCCGCCGGCATGTGGCCCGTCAGCGCGCGGCCCATGGCGATCAAGGGCGCCGCATGCGAGCAGATGAGGATCGCTTTGCTGGTCCGGGGTTCGTGGGCGGGCTGCGCGGCCTCCAGCGCGGCGATCTCGGCGTCGACGTCGGCGAGGATGCCGGCGAGGGCGGTGGCGACGCGGTCGTGGAGCTGGGCGATGGTTTCGCCGGTGGGCGAGGGGATCACATGGGGGGTGGTTGGTGGGTTTCCTCCTCGGTCCCGGACACTAGGGGGAGGAGATGTCGCAGGAGGGAGGGGGAGGAGGGTCGGGAAGTGGGTGGCTAGGATGGAATGCGGGGCGGGCTGCGGGTGGTCGAAGAAGGTGGTGTGGCCGAACCATTCTCTTCAATCAGGATGGTATGCTTGCATTAGTGGAGAGGTTCGCGTAGATTCGGAACGGGATCCGCGTCTCACCCTAGACCATTCTCAATGCGCACGTCAAAGTCTGCGTGGGGTTCAATGGTGCTGTCCGTTGTGGCTGTCGTAGAGGTACACGCTTTCGAGCATGTCCTCTGGTGGAGCTCTTTCAGTGCCTCCACAGATGGCTGGATTGTCTGGAGACATCGGTAGAACGGGCTGCAGTAGACGCGAAAAGGTTTCGGATGGACGCTATCGCTGGTCAGATGCGCAGCGAGCTCATGGGACTGGCGCACTCCGTGCGAGGTGAGGGTGGGATCGGCCGGATTGCCTGTGGGGGTTGGGAATTGAGCATGGTAGGTGCCCGTTTTGTAGTCTATCGTCCAATTGAGGCGGTGCTGGGTATGGAAGAGCCACGGTCAGTAAGTGAAGGGTTGCTCAAGGGATTGAATGGTAATACACACGCCGTGACGGGTGAGGTAGATTGTGTCGAGAGGCATGGTGGTATACAGCGGCCTCAATGTATGCAAGCACAGAGTACATTCAGTATTTGATGGCAGACTGCGGGGGAATTTCTGGGGTGAAACAGCGACTAGCGCGAGCGGTCAGCGGACATTGTGAAGTCGGCCTCGGTCCGAGCGTAGAGAGATTTACACTATGCCTGTACTATGGCTAGGTCTACTGCTCTACCGATGAAAACATGGAAACTTGATGTGAAACGACGGAAAGGATCCTTGTTTGGTTGGACGAGATCACTCTAAATCAATAAACTATCTATGGCGTTTCTGCCGGGGGTATCGATTCCGAAAACTCTCCGCCAAGACAAGCAACAGAGAGCACATCCCTCGTCCACATCATGACAAGTCATATTCCAATCATTTCAGCACATCGCCAGATGAAACTTTTTAGTAGAAGAAACCGAGGAGCTTGCCAGCAACGTGCTTGCGACGAGCCTCCTCGTGGTCCATGATACCAGCAGAGGTGGTCAGAACGACGAAACCGAACTGACGGGAGGGGAGGAGCTGGGTGGTCCACTTCTCGAGGTCACGGAGCTGGACGGGGTAGCGGGGGTTGATGACACCGGTCTTGTTGAGGCGACCGTTGAGCTGGATAACAATCTTGCCGGAACGGTGGTCATCGACCTCCTCGAACTCGCCAATGTAGCCTGAAGAGGGAGAAGAATTAGTGGTTTGTGGCGCGGATTTAAAGGTTAGACCAAACACAGAAATGAAAATGAGTTTCGGAAACTTGTAAGATCCTCGCCGGTTTCAATATATCGGGCACTTAAAGGGCGAGCGTTGTGTGATTTGCGAAACAGACCGCCTAGTTATCAACCCGAGATTCTGTGGATTACTACGTGTGATGCCGGCGCTCGGATCGAACTCATTCTCGCGAAAACTCATTTCCATTCCTGTGTCCAGCACTCGGATGGGACAAAACGTACCGTGCTTCTGCATGACGGAGAGGAACTTGATGATGACCTTGGAGGAGGGGCGGATCAGAACCTGACGGCGACCGGCCTTCTCGGCGTTGTTGATGGCGTTAAGCGCATCGTTGAGGACGGAAGTCTTGACCATTTTGACGGTGGGAGAGCGAGATTCTCAAATCGAGGGAATACGAGGGGAAATGAGGTATCTGAATCGAAGATAACTCCAACCTAGAATCCTCTCGGCGCCGTTTCAGGCGCGAGGAGGATTTGCCGGAGTCCAATAGTCAGCCACCAGTAGTCCTCGAGCGCAAAGAGTGCCCCTGATGCAGTCCATGAAGGGTTCTTCAGCCCGTGCCGTATGAGGAGAAGCGTATCACGCCGGCCTTTCTGGTTGTCTTCATTGCTGTCGGTTGCTACACCTGCAAGTAAAAAAACACCAAAGAATCCGGGTGATTGCTCTCCCAGACTAGCTGAGAAGCCGCAGAACAGGGAGAGGCAACAGGTTGAACATACCTCGTGAAGTGTCGACGACGTCGGTTGGGATCAAAGGAAGGGGAGGAAAGCGGACGCGGCCGACAAAAGCGAAGAAGTTTTCATGGGGTGTGCGGGTGGGCCCTAGGGCTGTCGATCTGTGCCCTTATCTCGTCCACGTGATCATTGTATTTAAATGCCTCAGGCACCAAGCGGGACAGCCGCCTAATGTGTAGTTATGGGCGGGTGAATCTGTCATGCTTTTGACTCCGTTACTATGTCCAACAGGCATGGAATGTTTAGATTTAAAATCCCCGTGACACGAGATGTTCTACGGCAAGAGAAGAGTGCATAGGAAATCGTGACCTTTTTCATCATATAAGTCGTACCTGCTCGTCAGAGATTAGCTGCCACGGTATGTGCTTCTGCCTGGCAGTGACCGGGCAAGTCATTCTGCAACATAGGAACACAACAAATGCACAATGCGCAGCTGTTTGCTTACATGGCCAGTGTAGAATACGGGCAACATTACAATGTTGTAAATGTATACGGGAGTAAAGGGGATGGGTTTATCATTCTATACATGTCTTCTTGATCCATTTGAGGGTCAGTGGAATAAGGGCAAGGTGAAATTCGTGACAATAGGAATGGGGGTACATGACTTCTTGGGCATACATGATAATGCTAGTAGAACCTCTGTCTAATTAAAAACGGCGTGAGGGGAAACGAAAATCGGCAGATGGGTAATGGTAATAATAGGGGTGAAGAAGTTCGAGAACGCAAGGCCGATGAATGGCGCCAACATGCATTACGAGATGGCATGAAAAGGAAGAGTCCGAAAAGCAGTCATTTGCACAGGACGGACACCCTGAACGATGGGGCAACATGGGCAAGGGGAGGGGGAGGTTTTGGTGCGGATGGTAGGGGGAGAAATTGGGTGGTGGGTGGGGGTGAGAGGGTTGGTACAGGGTGCTCAAGGGGGGTGTGGAGTGAGGGACGGTGACGGCGGAAAGATCAGCCCTATTCGCAGTATGATAGACTGAAAACACGGTCACATGATGAATGAGCAATCTGGGAGGGACCCGGGGTTCCGTAGAATGCAGGTCCATCAGCCAATGGGGCCAGCGTCGCCACGGCGTTACTTCCTTCGGTGCGCCAAAAGCTGGCGGCGTCCTGTAGGGGGGGGCATATTGTCGAGTGAAAGATCAATTGACGGGAGGGCGATTGATACTTGTCACTTAAGCCATAGCAGCAGCAGTCGACATGTTGATCTGGCGCTTGACTTGCTCACGGGTCCACCGGGCAGTGTCAATGGTACGAGGTCCATAATCACGGTTCTGGCGGGTTTCGCGAACAAGGGCAGTGACCCAGTCGTTGCGGAAGTAGTTGGAAAATTCGCCGTTGGGGAAGCCCTCGGCAAGATCACTGACACTGAGTTTAGCTAGAATTCACAGGACTGATTTGCACAGCGAAAACTTACCCAAGGACACCCATAGCGGCCCTCATCAAGCCCTCACTGCGGTTGATGTCTTGAGAGACGGTGTGGAGCAGTTGGAAGATGTGGTCGACGAAAGGTGTGATGTGAGAGACTGAAAAATGATGTCAGCAGAGCACATGCTGAGTGGTCGTAGACAATGCTCACTCTGAGGCTTGCCCTTGTAAGCCAAAAGGATACCACCCCAAGCATCCATGATACCCTCACGGAGGGAGATGATGTAGTCGATGGCGTCAAGAGACACATCGTCGCTGGCAGTCACGGCCGCGGCCTGGTGGAGGACAGTTGCAACAACTTGAAGATAGGTGTCAAACTGAGTGCCGATAGCCTGAGCGATATCTCCAAACGTCTCAAGGATAGCAGGCTTGAGCTGATTGCCGCAGGTCTTCGAAGACAGTTAGTTGGACGGTCACAGAACTGTCAAGACTGTTGACTTACCCGCAAAACGGTGAGCAGAGCGTTCATGAAACCATCACAGAAGGGCTGGATCTTCTCATTCAGGGCACGAGCGATGTCGCTGACCAATCCAATCGCCATGGAGCACAGACCAGGCTCTTCCTGGTTGCTGAGAGCATTGTACAGAGGCTGGGCAAAAGACTCCATGTACTTGGCAAATTCCTCTTCCATGGCACTAGCGATAGCACCGACAGTGGCGAATACCACGTCAGGAACACTAGACTTGGGCGGAACGGTCGAAAGTACGCGAAGCATAAGCTCCATGATGCGATCGGCCTGGGGCTTGATCTCGGTTTCGAGGCGTTGAACAACGGCCTTTCTGGTTAGCGAAAGCAATAGGATGCGTGAGAATCAGGGCGAACTTACGAGAATGACGCTGATGATGCTAGTCTGCATCTCTTCCAGAGTGATGCGGTCCTCAACACTGACCACCTGCTGCTGCATGCCGATGGTGTGGTCCAAGCGCTGAAGCATAACATCGGACAGGTTTCCGACCAGGGGAAGGCTGTCGATGGCAGCGTTGTTGACGAAGGAATTGAGCACCTCGTAGCCAGCGGTACGAAGCTGGTTGTCGGCATCGTGCCTGTCGATTGGGTTAGCAACGGATCAAGGGTGCCACAGGGTGGAAACCATACCTCTCGGTAAGAGTAAGAAGCGACTTGACGCTCTCACCGAAGTGCTTGGAAAGAGGGTTGGTCTGGGTTCCATAATCGCCAGCAAAGCGGTCGGCGACGTTCATCAAGGCCCAACAGCAGGAGCTGGCGATCTTTGGGGAGCTGGCAAGACCATTGAACAGGCAAGAGATCAAGGGCTCCAGATGCACCTCAGGGTCAAGGGTCTCAGAGCAATAGTCACAGACACGGCCGAGAGCGTAAGCGACCGAGTCGCGGACTTGGATAGAGCTGTCTTGCATCATGCCGACCAGGACAGGCAGAGCCTGCTTGATCAAAGGCTCCAGAACCTTGGGGTCAGGGCCATCCATGATGGCACCGAATGCTGCGACCGCAGCATCTCTGTGACGCCAGTCCTCGTTACGGATGTTCGCCTCAATAAATGCCAATACGGGGGGGATGACATCGCCCTGAACGCACTGAGCGTAGAGCTGCAGGGCCTGGTAAGCGGCACGTGCGACGTTGTATTCATCGTCACCGGCATCCTCATCCTGTCTGCACATAGCCTGCAACAAAACGGGAACGACTTCTTTGCAAGCAACACGGGCGAAGCCGAAGAATGGGCGGACCTCAGGGATCCCCTCAGCTTGGGCCTGCAACGGTCGTTAGTTATGCCCGAATTGACTTCCCACTCTAGAGATCATAATGTAGAACGTACCGCAGCATTGTCGTCCTCGATAGCGATTTCCTCCTCGCAAACAGTACACCAGAACTCGATCGCGAGCTTGGCAACATCCTCCTCCTCGTTCTTCATACCCATGATACTCAGACCAAACAGGGCCTTCTCCATATAGAAGCGCATCTTATCGTAATAGGCACCCATGATACGGTTAAGACAGCCGAATGCACCAGCCTGGACACGGAGATCGTCGGCCTGAGTCGCCTCACAGACCACCTGCATGATGTAGTTCCGCTCACCCTCGTTCTCCATGTTCGAGCGCACAAAGTCGACGGAATCACTGAGGGCCTTGATAGCAGCGAAGCGGATATCCATGTTCGGCTCCTCGCGGCGAGCACCCTGGACAACGGCGGTGAGGATAGCATTGGAGTGGGCAGCCAAGCTCTCGCGGAGCTCGGGGTCTTGAGATTCGCAAATGAAGCCGATGGTGACCAGGGAGGCCTGCTTGAGTTGGTCAGAGCCGGTCGCGATGTTCTGAACCAGGATCTGCATCAGATCAGGCCATTCATTCCGGGGGAGCTCGATGGCGGCGATGGAAACAATGACCTGGGCGGCCGACTGGCCGGCCCGACCATCTTTCGAGCCGAGCGTTTTGAGGCCAAGTTCCTTGACTTGGGCCTTAATTTCTGGGGTAATTTGCTGTAGCCATTTAAGTTGGACCTCGCGGAGCTTAGCGAGGTCTTTGAATGTGAAAGCGTTCTTCAACGCAAGACCGGCGGCGGTTCTGATGTGGGACGGGGTGTTGTCATTTGCTAATTCTTGACCCAAGGTAACAAGATATTGAGCCTATCGAACAGAGATATTTGAGGTTAGCAAGCGGCAACGCGACCACAGCACGATGGCTGGCACTTTTCAGGTAAGGAAACTTACGAAGTCAACCTCAGCCGCATGGGCGAGCTGCTGTTCGGCATTTGTACGTGCAGCCGCATCTATGGTACACAGCAAGAACGACCATCAGCAATCGTGCCACAGCCTCAGACGGGGAACCGACTGCGCCTCGAGATGATTTGCAACAGGTGGGGGGGGAGGGAATAGTAGAATATACCTGGCGAGAGGGTGCTCTCCAAAACCTGAGTGACGTTCATGTTGCCGTATGCGGAAAACAGCACCAGGAATCGCAAGCGAGAGCGAAAATCAAGAGGGAGGGGAAACTGAAAAAAAAAAAAGACAAAGATCGAGCCCGGTGCAAATCGAGCGATGAACTAATAGAAATCCGGGCGGGTGGAAGGGATTCAAAAAGTCCACCAGAAAAGAGTGTTGGAAGTGGACGACGAAGAGAGGGTTGAATGAATTCTTCGGAAGGACAAGAAGAAAGGTTGTTTTTGTGGATTATGACGAGGCATACACCACTGGAGAGGTTCTTTCCGGAGGGGGTAACGGAACGGGTACTGGTGAGTAATATGGTGACAGAACCGACACTTGGAACACGCTTCAAACACAGCGCAAGGAATATAAGGAAAAGAGAAAAGAGAAAAGACAACCCCCAAATATCGTCTTGGTGAGAACAGGAGGCAAAAGGAGAAAGGGGAGTAGAGGGGGATTGCGGGACAGTCGGATTGATACTGTGTTGAAGCTGATCCGGACTACTTACTCAAGGTGAGGGGAGTTTCCTTTGGTAAGGAAGAAGAACAAGAAGAAGAGAGGAGAGGAGAGGGAGGGAGGGAGGGAGGGAGGAAAGGAAGGACCGGGGATAAGAGATGTATGGAAAGGGAAGCGGGAGCAATACGGGCATGGCACCCGGCAGGCTGCTCAGTCTCGGGCTCAGTACGACGGTACCTACCAAATGCCCGTACCAATGGATTTCCACTGCACCCTCTCAGGGCTGCTGGTTCCAGAGCGAAAAAGACCTGGAATGGATGAACGCTACTGCGTTTTTGGCTCTTCTCATTGGTTAGATGATTGAAAATGCACTGGCTGAGTCATTCCACGTGACCAGAGACCGACCGAGACAGAGAGAGCCCTTTCACTCCAGTTGAAGGAGCAGACCACCAGGAGGTCATTGGGCCAGGGCCATATGCAGGAGGGCAATGCCTGCGATAGATAAGTCGATTGTATGAATTTTGATACCAAGGTCCATTTAGCTACTTGTACCTTAAATCCCTGAACAAGCTGCCTGTCTCCCTAGCCAAATAGCTTCTTATTATGTTCATTTCAGTAGACTACAGCAGGCAGCCCTGTGCTCCATAGCTCTCTCTCCTTGTCTTTGTCGTCACCACTACCACTACCACTACGTAAGATACCTGACTACTTACCTAGTACTGTATCATACACCCGGAAATACCAATACAATCTGCCCCTCCTTCTGCGCCCTGCACTGAATCTCCCTTCCCACCTAGTCAGTGTTCGTAGTATGGAAACAGTTCCAGTGTGTCCCTCCCTGCCTTTTCCCTTCAGGTTCCCTTCAACATCCTCCCCCTCCCTCCCTGTCATTTTTCCCACCTCTTCGCTTTCCCTTTGCTTGTTTTGGTTTTGCTGCTTTGAAGCACTTACCCACTCCCCACTCCCGTGACCCCGGCGACCAAAGAAAAAAAAAATCCATCGCACAAACCACTTTCACTTTCACCCACTCACCCACTTGCTGTTGTTGTTTTGTTTTGTTTTGAGATCCACCGCAGCTGATCTTTCCATGCCGATTCTTTGATCTTCTTTTTTCTCTCGCGATCGCTCATTCCTTAGTGGGTGATAGACTGCTGTGGCTCTTTCTCTGCATCTGAAAGCTTTTTTTTTTTTTATTTTTTTTTATTTTTTTTGAGTTTGGATGTCCGACAGGTCTCGCGACCTGACAGCTAGTTGGAAGGTTTAATTTCATGTAGAGAACAATAGTCTAAAATTTTTCTAAAGATCTTGTACTTCTCCTATGAGTAGTTCGCTTGAAGGGGTTGCAAATACGGAGTACTCAGATGTATCTGAGACCCGTCTCAGATCGCCGCTGGAAGAACCAATGTGATACACTCAGGAATTTGGAACGCTGCAAATACCCCAGAAGCATGCGCGCGCCCTTCTGCTTCTGTTGTTTATGTGGGTTTCCCTAGTAGAAACCGAGACAGCTTGGAGATGGAATCATTTGCCCCTCCAGGTTGTTCTCTTCCTCAACATGGGGATATCGTACATACGTAGGTACTATGGTTGACTCTTATATTGACTGTCGCATGCAAAGGCATTGTTCACCGAGATCTCCCTAATACACTAAAATATGCTATTCAATGATCTCCTCGTCCGATTCCTCATCCCCGTCCTCGTCTTCGTCCTCATCATTCCCCATTTCTGCATCCAGGTCTAATACCTCGTATCGCATCCCGTCACCGTACATGACACAAATTGCCCGGCGACCACGGCGGCCATTGACATCAATTCCCACGGGTCGAGCTTTGCCCTTGGCCCCAATGAAGCTGTGTTTGATGATTCCCAAATCCTGGGAGCTGGGCGCAAGAACGTCCACGTTCATCGTAGTGCTTAGCGGTGCACCTGTTCGCTCGTTATCGAGTACGTCGCGGTACTCGATGGAGAAGACGGGGTCCAAAACCTCTTCATCAGCTCCCAAAGCCGCGGCAGGCTGAAAGGGAAGGTTGAGTAGATACGATGTTCCCTCTAATGTGCATTGGGATTAGCATTGCGGCTATCGGCAGAACGCTTCACACGGATGACAACGATGATTACTTACTCTCACTCGACCACAAAATCACCATGGTATCATCCTCCACAAACTGTAGCTGTCGAATCTCCCCGCCCTGGAGATCGACAACCGCGGTGGAGATGCTCTGCGTCGAGCTCACTCCATTTTCGGAATCTAGAACTACGCGGTAGCAGCAGACTGGTCGGTCATAGCCTTCGATCAGCCAAAGTCGGTTCACGTAGGCAGGAGGGTATCTTACGGAGGTGCCTGGCCTTGACCGATCTGGTAGCAACATAGATCACACAACTGTCTTCGTCCTTGTTGGTTGCCTAGCAAAGTGTTGATGAACCAAGCTTAAGAAGACCGGAGTAGATGGGTTTACCTCGTGGCGCATAGTCACGTCAATGACATCTCGGTCACAGTCTGGGTGAAGGGTTAGAGGTGACCTGTGCAGGATACCTCTGCGCTGCGTCAAAGCAATCTGTCCGAATACTTTGTCAAATTGCAGCCCTAAAAGCTTCGTCAAGTCATTCATCTTAGGGGGTGCCACTGCATCAGCTTCGCTCGAGGCATGGCTCTGCTGCCCCAGCAATGATTTGAAGGTATCATAGAATGAGCGCCCTTGCCCTACCTGCGCCCATTTTTCCGAAGCATCCGAAGGAACTGGGGGTCTTGGAACTCCCATCATAGGTAGCTGCCGGATGAAGTTCCGTAGCGCACTCTTGGTTAGAGCGCCTCTGATGTACTTAAGAGTCTGCGGGTATTCCACCATGTCCGTCTTCTCCATCAGCTCTTCCAAAGTCTGCGACATTGGTTCCGCAGATTGCATGTCAATCTCATGGCGCAGCCACCGGGAGAAAGCATTGAACTGGGTTAGCTCCTCATTTGCATTGATGAGGATATGATGGCCAAGAAGATGGAGACAATCGAGCATCTCCACGATGGCGTTGAGATCCGTAGTTTCTAGCCCCAGCACCTCACTCAGCTTGTGGAACTTAGACAGCCCAACCAAGCGACTGAGCAGCACTTGACATCTTTCCAAGGCTGGAAGGAGGCACTCGTGGGTCAATCGCCGGACATTCTCGTAGCCAGACGACACAGCCTTCTCCCACCGTTTGTGTCCCTGTAAGCCACAGAGAGAAGATGGTTAACCGCTCACGCCTTCCCAGCTAGACCAGGAACCACACACTTACCCGTTCACCAACAATCTCAACAAGGAACTCCTTCAAGGGTTCAAAACAGTTCCCCGTCACCACCAAGTGATATGCCGCCGTGACGAAATCGCAATGACATTTTTCTTGTAGATCCTGGTCAATGCTGCGCATGTAACGCGCCGGCAACTCCTGTGCATTCTTCCATTCAAGCTCAATCTGTCTCTGGACCTGGCCGATATACCGCAGAAGATTCTGCAGCTGCGTCGTCTTGTGTGCTAGCAGCGAGAGATATCTCCCCGACCTGGTAATGAAGCGCAGATCGAGCGTAACTAAGCGTAACGGTTCCGGAGCACCATCCGGTGCCCCGGCCAAGAGTGCATGCGTCGAGCTCAGCGGATGGGAGGCATGTCGGATAATGTGACCAGGGCTGTGACGCGCAACAGAGCCTTGCACCTGGAAAGAACCGATTTCGAAGCAGTCGAAGATACGCAGATGCACTGTGCCGTCATCAAACCCGACAAGCAGCACATCAACAGCATCGCTGGTATTCTTAGTCGATGAATGGAAGATCGCATCGATAGATGCTCTGGAGCTGAACACATCATCGCTACACCCCACGTTAGCCCCACGAAACAACATGACCTCTTTCTTCATAGCTTCATCGTATCACAATATGCGAAAACACTTACTCACTCCCCGTCGCAGGCAAAGTACTCAATTTCGGCAAAGAACTCTCGACATCCAGCAATGCCAGTTCTCGTGGCAGGTCGGCTTTGAGCAGCGCTGCTGCCCGGGACGGATGGGTATCAGGCGACAGCAGATCTTCCACGGTGAGCTGGCCAGCGGCGTCGTGCAAATGTCGCTGGGCGACTTTCGTGTCGGTGAAGTTTACGCCCCAGCCTATACACGTAGCCTTGACCGCTTGTCGAGCCGCGTCGCCCTCGGCATGGGGATACGCGGGATAATGGTGGACTGTTTTGCCACTGTAGGCACTGATGATACGGACGGTATTATCCGCACACGCGACTGCGAGTAAATGACCTAGATAACAGTGTCAACCATCCTTGCTCAAACCGAAAACAATGAGGTTTCGATTCCAGCGCCTTGGAGGTGAGACCCAGAGCCAGCGATCGTATCGATGGAAAGAGGGGGGTCATTAGGAATACATACCTGTATTTTTCCACATCAACCCGCGAATCTCTCCTCCACCATCATCCTCATCAAGATATGGATCGCCCTTGTAAGAGCCTCCAAAGACCTTTTGTCCGTTGAGTCGGAAGACGCGTAGCTCGTCATCCTCTGTGACTAGAGCAATGAGGTCCATCGTAGGGCAGTATGCCAACGCGCCGGCCTTGCATTTTGCCGGCAGGGACTTCTCCCCGACAGGCGTGAGCTGCGGCTCATAGGGGGGCTGATAACCATCGTCTTCAGCCATGTTATTATGTTTCCTGGCCCTAGCCCATTATAGTGGCGATTATGTTGAGGGCACAATGACTGCAGCTATCGTAATGCCGTCCCCTTCCTAGCAGCTGTCGTTGGTCGGGGTGGTGGTGGATAACGGGCGCTCTTGGCGGGCGGAAGAGATGCTCCTCTAGTAATCGCCTTGGTGCCTGGCGATCCGCCCACTACTGTTTGGCTTCGAACTTCCTCGCTTCCCCAAGAAATGCCGATAGTAGTTTTCGCAGTGATAAAAAACATAAAATCCGCTATCTGGGCCAACGGTGAACAGCATGGTTTTCACCTCACAAGCCGAGCCGCAATCTCTACACAAATCATATACACAACACAGCCAGACATCAAGCAATCGAATTATTCTCAAATTATATTACACTAGAACACTTAAGGTGAACGACATATATATGGCTTCAAGGAAGACAAAGCTTATATCTTATATCTCCGCACTGGCTCCTGACTCAATCATACCTTTGAGGTAACTGAGCTCAGTCATCATTTCCCGCATGGCGGCGGATTGTCCCAATAGGGACGCTCTGCTCAGTCGGTTATTGACCGGATCTGATACAGCACGCCTTTCCTCCTGCAAGAGCTTTATCTCATCCTTGAGATGCTCTGGAAAGCCCACTACAGTAGGATCGGGGCTGTGTAGAAGGCCAAGGCCTTGAATAGACTCAACTCCTCCGAAGAACGCTGCATGCCGCTTGGGGTTACTCTCCACGCAATCCTCCTCATCGTTGATGCACAGGTCAGACAAACTGAGATCGGACGGCGATAGCGAGATAGAAAGACGGGGGAGCGGAAGATCAAGAAGAGGCGAATCGCCTGCAACGGAGGTAGCTGTAGACTTGGAATTCACCGTGAGGTGAGGTGTATCCGGGTCACTCATCTCTCCTGCGACTGATGTCTTCAGGTAATCGGCGTAACCTGAAACGTAGGTATCGGGAAGAGGTGGTACGTCTTGGTCGAATGGGGCTGAGCATGTCATAGACTCCGGAGAAAGAAGTTCCGTATCGGTACTCCACTCAGAGAAATGGCTTCGTTCACACACCGAGCTACCTGCCACAGAGTCCGTATCAGTGAAATCGGAGAAGTGGCTAACCATAGCCTCCGTATCAAAAGCCTTTCCTCGAGCATCAATCTCGCGCAACGCCTCGTCCATGACCGAGGATGGAGAGTTCGGCAGTGTCGGCAGCCGCTTTTCCCTGGTAACAGAGGGCCTTGGCGTCATGGCCAGATCCTCAGCTGTCGTGAATCCGATGGACGTCGCTAGCAAAGCAGAAGATTCCCAGAGTGATCTTTCGACCGCATTCATTTGCTTCAAATCGCGTGCTTTTGCGCGTGGTGTTGCTTGTTCAGCAACGAGTGGCTGCTCCGCGGGATTTTGAGACTTTTCATGGATACTCGAGGGCACTGACTGGCGATCACCAGCAGCGGCCGGGGCCAAGTGATGGCCTGTGTAGACTCTTTGATTATAAGACTGATCGTAGCCGGTGGAAGGCGGGCGATTGATGACAATGTTCGGATGAATACTGGTATCGAAACGGCCAGTAGGTATATGAGGATTTGAATCTAACGGCCCCCGGTCTGGACTAGGTCTGGCAATCTCTGGTCCATGATGTTCTCCAAGATCAGGAGACGAAACATTCCACTGTCGAAATGCGGCGAGGAGTCCTCTCGATCTTGGAGGGGATACAGACCGAGCGGTCTTGAACACTGGGCCCCTGGGTCCTTCGTTGACCCTGACCTTCGGGGTTGCACTGCTGGGCTGCGAAGCGCTCCTGTTGGTGATTATTCCCAACGGAGAAGTGCTGAACGACCAGGCTGGGGTTGGCTGCTCCAACAACGGAGGAGACGTTCGGAGGCGCGGAAGCGTTGGTCTAGGCTTGGGCGGTCGTCGAGGGTTGAGGTACTTATCATCCGGGTTCATAGTTTGAGGAACCACGCTTTGCGCACTTGGGTTTCTTGAGTGGGTATGTGCGGGGACGGCATCTGGAAGAATAACAGGTACATTGAGAACATTGACCGGCTGGCCTGGAAGAAATGGACAATGGGTGGTAATAGGTTCTGCCTCATTGTAGTACTCCACATCATTGTCCAGCAGATACTGTGGGTCTGTTAGTATTCAATTCCCTAAATCAAGGAGATTCGGGAGTACAAACATAATACCAGTAGGTACCTCCCATCTTCAGTCCACCAGAACGTGCTGGAATCATGTGGGCCGGTGAACCATCGCACACGATGTTGGCGAAGGTATGACACCCCTTCCACTGACCCGGACCAACACGTCTGTCTCGCTCCATGAGGTAGGGCTTGGAGAAATTGTCCCATGAGCCTAGCAGTTTGACTGACTTGACCTGCGGATTGGTACAGCTGCGCGTCGCCATTAGCAGGTGAGCGGGGATTCGCAATTCAGAGAACCACAACTTACAGAAGGAATGTCATTAAAGTTGTCGAAGTCATGACTGCGACAGGTGTATATATAAGGGTCTGACGAACGACACAATGAAGGAAAGCGCTTTGAATACTAGTCTGAACTTCGGAAGATTTTGTGTCGGCTGGACTGCACACGATGTGCTAAGCAAATTTGTCGATTGAAAGGAATGCAATGGATGTTATTCCAAGACCAGCTTGGAAAAGAGCAAGTGAAAGTAGAGAAAAGGCAAATGAAGGGCGTTTAGCAGAAAGCCTAGTCAGGCTGTGTCCTGGTGTGGAATGTCAGGAGGAATAAATCCCACCGGCGATGTCCTGCCACGCAGTTTCCTAGTGTGATATAAGAGTTGGAAGCTGACAGCTGCGGCTTGAAAGTGGCTACTGTGCCATAACAACACAGAGAAAGCTGAACACCAACAATGTGCGGGAGAAAGGGTAGATCAGTGATTCATTAGCCGCGGGGCTGCGGGAGTTAAATTTGGACGTTCCTGACCGAGAGATCGGAAGGGTATATCAGGCCAATGACGCTGGAGGAATGGTAGGTCGGAAGCGCCGACAGGCGGACTACCTGGACGAGGAAGAACAATGACAGGCGGAAAAGGGTATTTTCAGCGCCTGCTGCAGGAGCCGGACGTTTCGAGCAGTGTTTCTCTCACACAAATTTTAGACGATGGTCCAGGCTGGTCGACGAGGGTGAGAAAGCCGAAGTGAAGCTCAAGAATACCATCAACTCGATCGCGCGTATGTGTACACTCCGGGCGTGACCTGAACGTCAACGCTTATTATTATAGGTGGTGTACTGTACTCCGTACTCCGGAACAGAGAGAAAATCAAGTTTCGGCAGCTCAGTAGCCCTGTAGCAAGACGGTGCGCTTGTCAGGGATCCACTGGGGGATGATATAACCACGTCACGATAGTGATCGTCCCTACAAGAGAACTCTGTCGCGAGAGAGGAGAGTTCATGATGGCAGCCGGCCGACAGAAAAAGGACGCGCGATGAGATCCGAACATGGTTCCTGGGCGATTGGTGGTCCACCCAGGAGAGTTTTTCTGGGATGAGGATGCTGATCCTTCCTGGCGAACCAGAGTGGGCTTCGAAGGGACTCGAGTCCTGAACGGGTGGACACAACTGGATCACGGGCGTTTAGCTAGGCTGGATGCATGTTAGCTGTGCCTGGTATCGGTACCTTAGCAGGCTTAGCTCAACAGCCTAGTTCCTAGTTTGCAAGGGTGGTGAGTGGAGACCGATGTAAGTCCGAGGAAGGGAAATTGATGGATCAGAAAACAAAAGAAAAGGGACAGTGTACGGAATACTGTAGCCAGCCACTGCACGAAGATGATAGATGGCAGTGGTACTCCGTACGGAGAAGTTGACTGAGAATAAAGTGATGATTGGGGACAAGCGGCTGGGTGCAATCCACGGTGGAAATTAATCTAACCAAACAAGGAGATCACTACCTTGGGATTGGTGGTGGCTGGACACAAGCCACTCTGAGGCTGACCCTTTCTTTCCAATTCCCGTAAGTTATCTTCATCTCAGCTTCTCACCTCAACTACCGATCTATTAAACAACAAATAAGCTTTGTCAATGTCACTCTCGAATTGTCCTCTTGTCTCCCCTTCTCACCGAGAGATCAATCGCGGGATGAGAGATTTTTAGCGAAGCGACCACTGATCAACCCCCCTCAGGAGGCATATCTGGTGGACCCGGAAAAACCTACGACTACGCGCCGATCGACTTCTCCACACCACGTGAGTGGCCCGCAGGTGGGCAAAGCTGACTACTACTAGCAGGCTAGCAGCAGAGAGGAGATGTGGACTGGTTGGATATGTCGATTGTTGACTGCTGCGCGCTGCGCCCTCTCATTGTTTATGCATGACTCCTGCATATCTCCGACACTCGCGCCATCCCCGGTCGGCTGTCCAGGAACAAAGTGGCCTCGCTGGCCTAGAGTTATCTACCCCACGCAGACTGACCTTCGGATTCCGTGTCAGCAGCTGAGAATGGCCACAATCAACGGGTTCTCGTGTTTCCTTCCCCTCTGAGCGCTTTTAGAGCTAGGTGAATCTGGGCCGTGTGGCACTAGGACATGGCCGGTGAATCCAACCTCACGCCCGGACCAGCGCACTTGCAAACCATACTCCGTACACCAAGCCAGGGGTCAGCTCCAGTCAGCCAATCAAGAGATTAGTCGGACCATCCTAGTCGCTTAAGTGTGTTGTTGCTGCATGTCTGCAGCCAGTCAGTCTGTTTACTTCCCGGGTGCTGGGCAACTAGACTTCGATCTCTAAGGGGGAAACTCCAGCAACAGATAGATTGAGGTCTCGACTGGCCTGAGATGGTGGTACCTGTCTTTCTCCTCAGCTGTAGCAGGTCGTTGCCGGTTTAAATCCTCTGCGGTCGCTTTGACTGCCAGCGAATCGAATTTGGACTTGAACTTACCCTCTTACACCAATCAGTAATGGTTCTTCAAACAGTGGGAGGAGCATTTCAGTTCCAGTTTGGCGGGAGTAGCCGAGCAATCCGTGCAATGACATTGCCAATCATACACCTCCTTGAAGTGTATTGCAAGCTAGCCTACAGATAACTATAGGTAGGAACTAAAGAAACTACACAAGGGGAGCTACAGGGAAAAAAGGAAGCATAGACATTATTATGATTTAGTATTGTCGTAGCATTTGACCAGTCACGGCATCCCGCCAGAATTCAAGGAACTCAGAGCCCCCCCCCCGACACGGACGGCGGCAACTGGGCGCTTGCTGCGACGCGTTTCATCTATGGCGCCCATTCTCATTATAACATGATTAAGGACCGAAGCCAAGCCGAAAAGTCACCACTGATCAACATTTGCATCAGAGCAAAAGAAGTGAAACAAGCAAAGAGAGAAGAGGGGGAAAGAAGGCAACGGGGTGTCGCAGCAGTGGGAGAGAAGGCAGTGGCAGCGGATATGAATAGCAACAACAATAACAACAATGATCACCCTGAAGCAATCGTAATCAACGATGCCCGTCCCGCTTATCATACTTCCGATTCACTGCGCCCAGCACGCACTTCAGAATGCCATCTGCACTCAGGGTCTGCCCCTTGTCGCCTCGCCACGGCACGGTGTCGACAATATCGCGCAAGTTCTTCTGATGTGTCATCTTGCCCAACTCATCGTCCAGGTCCTGCAGATACTGCCGCGCCACGGGGTCATCGCCGATTTGGAAAAACTGAATCCCAACCTGCCAGGGCACGGCCGAGATCTTGTCGAGTCGCTGGGCCACATTAACAATCACACTTTCCGCGTCATCCGTGAACGCTCCATCGGTGATCGCAATGATGTTTAATGGTTTAAGCAGCTGCGTGGAGTCCTCGAACGCATCGCTTGCGGCGACCTTTTTCTCCAGGTCGCGCATGTAGGGGCCCAGGATATCCATCAAGCGGCGGCCGAACGGCGTCGGACCCTGGGGATACACGCTGCCAAAGATCTCCCGGACGTTGTCCGCCAGCGTGATGTTCGTGTATGACCCCGGCCCCCTTCGACCAGTATCTCTGCGGTGATTGAGGAACCACACGTCGATTCCATCCCTGTCATACTGCGTGCAGATCGGAGCGATCGCGGCGATAGCATCTTCGGCCTCCTTCCAGCGCCGCCCGCGCATGGATGTGCTATCATCAACCACAAATATGGTGTCAAACTCGCGTAGGAATGAATACGGCGAGTCGCCTGATGAGGTGCTCGAGGCTGTTGATGGCATAGGCATCTTCGCTGTAGGTTCAGCGGAGTACGGTGGGGGCGACCATGGGTCCTGATGGCTTGTGGGAGTTGGCTTTCCTATGCTTCTCGATTGGGACGCTATGCTCCGATTGACTGAGCCTGTTCCTGAGCGTCTCTTCTCATGCGAGTGAGTTTGTCCCATGTTGGTGCTATTACTGTAAGCTTGTTCACTCGAGGTCTGGTGACGATGAGTTGAGTCTCGACGGGTAAGCTTATCTCGAAGGTGTTGTAAAAGTGGCATCTGGGAGGGGTAAAGGTAAAGATGTTTATAGTCGGTCAGCTCGATGATTCAACTTCGAGTCGAGTAGGCGGGAATCTCCGGAGAAAAAGACGTAGCCTCCTTGAGGGCAGAATTCGTTGTGTGTATGGAGTATAGAAGACGACGAAACAGAGGAAGGGCGCAACGTCAAAGTAAATCAGTGAATGTAGTCTGGCATGATTTCCTCCCTTCTCTTGTTATCGTTCACCCAATGTGCGAAAGACATGGAAGGCGCAGTCAAGGCAGACTGGTTCAACCCACACACTCAGGGTTCATTCCAGTCAGTAGACCTCAGGCTATATACTAGCACAAACACATTTTACTTTTGCAAAGCCACGTGCAGTGTTGAATGGTATGCAAACCCAACCAATTAGTTTCAAGAACCCAAGCCTAAGGCTTCCAGGCAGGAATGACTTCGCCCCCTTTCCATCCACCCGTGACTTCCAAGTTCCGTCTCCTTACCGGAGATCCAACATGGATCCTGCCGCAGTTTGCACGGCGGCACTGCCTCAAACTGTAAAGTTTAAGCATCTTCAAACGACATGGCTGCATGGCTAATTCCTGTTGGCCACGAGCTCCACAAGGCGCGATAGTGATATGCTAAAGCTACAGGGCTGCATTGGCATGTACTCTACATTCTTGAGGGGTAATAGGGAGGCTGTAAGGCTGATGGATGCTGTTTGCTGTTTGCTGTTTGTTTCGAACCCACCATACACTATCGGAAGACCGGATAGTGGTGGTAGGCAGTGCACAGCCTACTAGCCGAGGCGGGGGGCCGCAAAACCGCAGTCAATAGTCTAATAACTTACCCTTGTCGCATGTTGGCACTGCCTCATCCCGAACCTTGGTCATGCGACGGATAACGAAGACCGAGATGGGTCCTGTTCAATGAAGTTATGATTGCATGATGTGTGTTTTCGCTAGCGAATCCATGTCAGTAAGCCAGTCACGTGTAACTAGAGTGACGTACATCTGTACAAGTCGCCAAACATTCATCACTTTCGACACATAACTTATTTATGTTCATATATATACACTAGGTATCAAATCGTACCAGCCTTCAAGGCTGTTGGTAAGAAGATGCACAGACGCTTTAACCCTCAAGGGGTCGAGACTAGAAGCGTCTCAGCAAAATGCTGTCACCCTTTCATGAATATGTTCATCGTCCGTCTGCCCGAGGACATCGAACGTCTCGCCGACTTCCAAAATATCAATCAGGGCCAAAGCCTGATCGATGCCCAGGCGGTTACCGATAAGCGCTAAACAATCAACCACCCATTTGCGTAGGGAATGGCCCTTCGGCTCAGTAGCGCCAGCAAGAAACAAGGGCCACAGAAGAATCATGCCACGGATGAAGCCATATTCCAATGTCACCGTCCTGAAGGTAGTAGCCTCGCCGGTAACGAGGTCAGCGCTAAAGTGATAGGGCACACTGGCGCATATGTCGAGAGCCAACTGCCTAGCCTTGTCGCGAACCTGCGCGAGATGATTAGCTAGATCGGGAGTGAGAGTCGTATTGGTGTTCAGTCGATATGTGTAAGTGAGGATGTACTCGCTGATCATGATTCGAGCACAGCGATATTGGTTCCACGCGTGACAGAGCCATAGGTCTTGGTACACGTGGAATCGGTTGTTGTACGAGTTGAGACCCCAATCGGACTGGGTAGGCCAAGGGCTTTCAATGGTGGTGTACAGAAATCGAGGCGGCAAAGCCGCAAGCCATGCCATCAATTCGCCTTCTATGCTATAAACAGTGGACAAGATCTCCTGACAGTCGGTGATGACTTTATCACGTATGTCTGCCCGGAGATTGGCCAGCCGGCCACTTATACTGATCAATCGGTCGCTATAAGCTTCGGTCTGAGGCCGCAGAAATTGGGCCACCCTTGCGCAGTCAAGAACTGACTGCGGCACTCGAGCCTCTCGTTGCAAGCAGCTGATGATCTTGACAGGCTCGTTAGTCAGGCCTGCGGAGGAAGGGGGTAATACTGGAATATATCAACATACAATCTGATATCGTAATTGTAAGAATAGCTTCAACCCCTCAGCCTTCTGAAGTTGTTCCACACCTCTCAACTCCAAGAGTGCAGCAGCCCCGGAGATATGATTTGTCCAGTTGTCAAGATTCTGCGGGGCTCTACTAGAAACAACCTGTTCTCCAATCAGACGCTGTGAGTGCGAAAGGGGAAGGACGTTGGTGTCGAACGCACCTCAAATATCGCTAGAAGTAGAACAGCGGCCAGGGTAGAGTTGTCCCTGGCCTCTTTCTCATCGGTGACAGCAGAAGTGAGCAGTTGCAACGCCTGTCCGTACTCTTTCTCTGAGGTAATTCTTAGGGGAGTGGATCGCCTGGCGCGAGCAAGCATGGCCATTCCTGCAGAAGTCATACTAGCTATCATAGCTTGCTGACTGGGTGAGGTCCGTAGATCGAGGATGAATTCCGTGGCAGAGTCTGGTCTCATCCAGACGCTCCCGATCCAATTATTCTGGCTCAGAAAGAAGCAGATGGCTTCGTTCTTGGTAGGTTGATACGAAGGCTGAAGATCGAGGGGGCGCCGGGTGGCAAGCTCTCGTTGAAGGTCCGTGTCCTCATTGAAGTCCACTATGTTACTGTCACCCGATGCGGCGCTGGGGCTACTACTCGTAGTGCTACTGCTACCCCGAGAGGGAGTCTCAAACCGGCCACTAGAGCCGGATTTGCCGGCTGGTTTAGTCTTGCGCGCTGTGGTCCCGGTCCGTGCCTTCCGAACAACCTGTTGACTCTCGTCGCGGAACATCAAGGACAGTTCGTCTCGGTATCCGGGGCAGACCCGGTTGCCCTTGGCGCACTGCGAGCAGGTTGGCCGCGCCTGATCGCACCGGATCTTGCGAGAGCGGCACTCCCCGCAGCCTTTGCTTGGCTTGCCGCAGAAGACCATATTAAAACAGGCGCAGTCTGCAGAAGTGGCTGGTCGATCGTGCTATGCTGGGGGCAACAAGCGATAGATAGATGGATCCAGTCGGATAAGGAGAGCCAAGCCCAGAATGGAGGCAACTCGAACGGGTAAGCAATGCGAAGAACGGCTTGAGCACCGCGACTTTCCAACGTTCGAGCTCAGAACAAAACTTCGAAAGGGTAGCTATGATAGGATTAGTTCATTCAAGAGCAGGTGCAGGTCGTTCCGGAGATCTTTCTCGTCCAACCTGGCTGATCTTGGTTGAGAGGAACACGGCCGTGGGAGATAAAGAGGTGTATGTAGTGGGTTGGCTGGTGCCTCAGGCGTGGACAGCTTCCTTCCCGACTCCACGTGGGATCCGGCTAACCTGATCGAGTATGCCTTGCGAGATGCCCTGCAATGCCAGGTGAGTGCGCATCGCAGTGGCAGTTGTTGCCAAGTATACACCTCTGCTGTCTTCTATTGTCTTCTAGACGCTTGCACAGTAGTATCTCGCACGCACTCGCTATTCTCTTGAGTATGTCGATACTCATACTGAGGCTATGCTAATCTCGTCCAGCATACGTTGCTCCCATGATCTTCGGAGGTCAACATCGGTCATATGCTACTCATTCAATCCTTGGTTCTACCCTCTATGAAATAAGCCCACTTAGGTATTCATTCTGCAAAACAACGACTGCTTAGCAGATGATGTGATGGCTATGGCACGGAGTTACTCAGCGTCAGCCCTATAGTTCTATGAATTGACCAGGTATTCTTCTATCTACCAAGAACGGAATGATGGCTGTTACCGCGCAAGCAAGCAGTAAAACACAGGCAGAGAATAACTTCCTAGCTATGCACCAAGGCTAGTACCACAGCCCGTTGTCAATACCTTGGGAAAGATAAGGTTAATTGTGTATTCGTGTTCGCCGGGAGCAATTCTATCCATGACCGGCAACCGCTTTCATCTATGTCGACTTTCCCGCAACACCGTGCTGACACCTCCCGTCTATCTGCGACTGAAGAAATTCGCGATGAATCTCTCCTCTCATACAATGAAAGGGTATTTTAAAACACTAGGGGCATGATTGCGATATCCCTGGTTCGACTCCAGGGCATGGTTGTTGTTACCTTGAAGGTGAGGAGGGCGAATGGGAGTATGAGACGGCCGAGGCACGAACATGTGGCTGCTTCTCATGCGGCTGGGTATAAATTCGGGTGCTTCAGGGCGAAGAGTAGAGTAGTAGAATGTCGTACGCCTCTTGTTTTCACCGTCCGCTTTTCCGTGATCCTGAATATGGCCCGGGTCACCTCCATACGGGCCTGGGAGCTGTAGTGAATCTGGGCGTTGTGGTATGCTTAGGTATGGTGGTCTCGACATTCCAGGTTGAGGAGTAGCTTCAATTGAATAGCATTGCGGGTGGTTCTGCACGGGCAATCGGAGTGTATTTGGGGCTAAAGCGCACTGTAGTGGCAGGATATGACGTGGAGCAAGGTAGGACGGCGCATGGACCTAATCATTGACTTGCGTTATCACTGGTAAACCTCAAATAGGAGATTTTGGGCTCCGCTTACTGTATGTTGTTGATATGATAAGCGGTCTTGCTCTAATAGCTGTCTGTTCATACGATCTGTTTCGATCTGTGGATAGGATCTTTGTGGAGGTGGCGGTCGCGTGACATTTGGATGTATTTGACGCGGAGTTGGCGAGATGACCTGCCCGTTTGGACAATATCCAGACGATACAATTGGCGGGAAGTAACTACCAGGCGCCGCAGCTGGCTGATAGTGCTCAGGCGATACAGCTGGAGGAAGAGTCCTAGGTGATATAGTTGGCGGGAAGGATACACTACCTGGTGTCAAGGCATCCGGAAAGAGTGCAGGCAAAGCAGCCGGTGAAAGACCATGGGTTGATGGAACCAATCTGGATCCCTCCCAATGATTGGATTGGCGAGAAAACGAAACCACTGCAGGGTCAAGCTTTGAGTGTTTACCATCAGTGAGTTTGCTCGGATCTTCTTCATCTTTCTTCCCTGAGAATCAGAAGTAGCTTGGTTAACTGAAATGCCTTACCTGGCTGGGCGAAAGCTCTAGGTGCGTATAATTCATGACTCAAAGTGATAAGAGCAATGGGAGTAGACGAATGGAAGAAATACTTGCAACACAAGAAGAAGGCCACTGAGAACAGAAAAAAACAGATAGAGTAAAAGATTTCCAAGAGGCTAAAGTCTCCGGAGCGACTACCTGAACTTCAGAAGTGTTCTGGGGAAGGAACTTTCATCGCCGTGGGCTGCCAGAGGCAATGGCCTTGGGTTTGCAAACACACAGCACCTGTTTGAGAGTATGTCTCTCGAGCTGTGTCTGTCTAGACTCTGGAGCTTCATGAAAGCCTCGGTCACGGCTGACTGATTGGTCCCTCAAAGGTAATTGTTCCACTTCATCATCAGTTTACAATGTAGAAATGTAGAGCAGCAAGTGTGATACTCAGACAAGTTTCATTAAGACTATGTACATTTTTTGTTTTCAATTTTTTGTTTTCAATTTTTTGTTTTCAATTTTTTGTTTTCAATTTTTTGTTTTCAATTTTTTTTAGGATTTATTTTTTAAATTTTTTTGTTTTTTTCTCCTCGAAAGACAAGAGGCAGTCAGCTAGAAGGCTAGCTGAGGAAGCCCTCGAGCTGCTCGTACAACAGCTCGAGGGCTTCCTCAGCAGCCTCCTTCTCTGACTGCCTCTTGTCTTTCGAGGCAATTGCCTCGTCCAGGGCTTTCTGGGCAGCCCCGACGCCCTCGAGGTGCTGTATCAGGGCTACAGCCGCCTAGGAACAACTCGGTCAGCTACGTGATCCTTTAGTGATGTCTTCACTCGGTTAAGACTTACCCGCAAAAAGGTGTCGCGCTGGGGGGGGGTCATAGCCCCCCTCCCATACTTCTTGATGAAGTGATCAAGCACTCCATCGTGCACACCGCCACCTTGATTGACAAGCCTGTTCTCTGTTTGAACCCCAGCATGGGTGACGGGGACAGGGATCCTCGAAGGAGAAGCTGCGCGCAGGATGGACTTGCTTGAAGGATTCGACGCTTGGCTGGCAAGGTAAGGACTTCCACTGGAAGCTGTGACAACGTGTCTGCGTGATCGGGACCCAGCGACTGTGGGCGTGTGGATCCTGGGATTTGTAGGCAAGTTTCGTTCCACGTTCACCAGATTAGGAGTGCTGGGGCCAGGGAGAGGTTTATAGCCAGCAGGAAGCCGCTCGAGAGGTATCTGTATCGGATTCGAGATTTGGCCGGTGCGAGTCTTGCGTGAATGAGTTATGCTCCATCCAAGGCCCGATGGCTTCATGGCAGCGCCCAGGTTCTTGCTACTCACGGCCTTCCGAATCGGTTTCGCAGTTATGGGAGTCTTTTGAGTGCTGCCACCATTGTCGGGATTTATGAGCTCCTTATCAGCACCAGCGCGAGGCTTGAACATGTTTAGAATACTGAAAGTAGTCTTTCTCTCACTGCGTGGGGCAGGATTCTGTACCCTTACGTCGATATAGGTATTCTGGTTCTCAATAGTCTTAGACAAGATTTTGTCGAATGTCGCAGCTTGATCGGTTCCATTTGAAGGTTTCGATTTGAGAAGACCAGTGCCCTGGATTGGAAACTCATACATAGCCTCCACTGATGACGATCTGACGGGGTGTGAATGAAGAGCTGCGTGAGCTCTTTGAACTCTGAAAGATTCAACTGTAGAACCAATGTGAGAATCCTCAATGTGCTGAGTATCGTGATGGCTTTCACCACTGGGCGGAGTCTGATCTCGTTCCTTCTTCAGGTATGAAGATGCGACGGGAAGCAGAGTGTCATTTTCCTGCAATTTGATAGGAGAAGCTTTTGTCACCGAAGCCTGTGACCGGATCTGCTCTGACAGCACGCTTTTCGGGGCAGGAGCCGCTGACATGCTTTCATGAACCTCAGTCTCTTCACCCAACCCTTGAGTTTCCTCGCATAACTCGAAGCCTTCTTGATCATTCGAATTGATGGGGTAACAACAATTGCCCGCAGTATCACCAATGCCATCTTGTCCTCTTTCGAATGAAGATGACTTATCAATCGATTTGTACTCTCCAGAGTCATATCCTTGGCTTGAGATGTATCCAACAGACTGTAATCCTGTACCTCTCAACACCTCATCTGCGGATGAAGAGATTCTCAGTCTAGGACCATGAATACGCTGGGCAGTTCTCTCGGCCACAGGGGTACGATACTCGCCGGTATAGACGGTACGTCGTGGCTTCGGCGTCTCCTCGTCGAAATTCCAATCATCATCAGACAAGTAGGTGGAGATCGCATGTCCTCTCTCGGTAGCAGTCACAAAATTGGACGTAGTAGCACCTAACAGCCCCTCTGATGACTTGGTACTTAGAGCGGAAGGAGTATTAACAAATGGAGCTTTTCCGGTACATGGCTCTGTAAGTGTGGCTTCATAGGCACGAGCAGGAGACGATGCACTGCGTTTTTGAATAGGCACAGGTATCGCACTGCGATGTGTGCTGGGAGTCTGCATCTCTTTTCCCAGCGAAGATGGCCCTGCCGGTGTTCTGAGGTGGTAGCTAGCCATCGGGATCCGAGAGCGCTTGCTACTCTCGATGGAACACGAGGTAGAGCGAGAGGCTGAGGCCTCACGTCTCTGAGAGAGCAACAAGTTTCCTTCATCGTCTATGATGGTTAGTCTGATTGCCATGTGAATGGGATACAGTCCACTTACCATAATTGACGTTCCCGCATGGACGTTCTGATTTACTCTCCATGGAGAAGCTTTTCATGGATGGTGCAATTTCATATGCCTCTATCCAAAAGAAAGAAAAGTTAGCATGAAAAAGACGTGGTGTAGAACAAGCGTGAAGGGTCATCGTGTTGCGTCTCAGTCATAGAGCCCTCTCAGTCATAAATGCAACACTTGGATCCAAGGCAGCAGATGAAGCTATTGGGGGAACGAGCTTACCTTTCTTGCCTTCACTAAGGGTAGTGCCAAATGGCCCGGTGTAACGTCTTTCAGGAGTTCGAGGATCCTGGAAGGGATCCTCAATTGAAAGCTTGTCGGCAGCCATCCTGTGAAGGTTTGTCTTACGGTGGTGCAGAGGTTTTTCTCTTGCAGAAAAGCCAGGAGGTGGAATGATTTTCAGTGGGGATACAATGGGAGATTTTTCTTGTGATAGCGGAGAAGGTGTAGGGATCTGTTTGTCTTTTGACAACGAAGTAGCAGTGGTGAACGTTTGAAGTTCAAGAGGACAAGGAGGAGTAAGATGGTGAGAAGGTGAAGCAGAAGAAGGTGTCTGAGAGGTGAGATGTCTGGCGTGTTTTTCACTTTCGTGTTGCTGCGTGGGGACTGGGGTTGTGTTCTCAGGTGCATAAACAAGCCAGTCCCAGAAAGCTAACAGAGACGAGCGAACGCTGCCCCCTCTGCTTGAATCCACTGCCTGGCGGGTCCTCTGCACTTGGCCCCCAGGTGACAAAGCAGTCACGTTTAGGTCACTGCTGATTGAGTGCCTAGAGTGTCCTTGTCCAGGTTCAGAAGCTTGATTTGACTGGATCTCGTCAGTGACAATTTCTCAAAAAGCCCTACACATAGCGTCTACATACGTTTGAGACCGGAAGCAAAACCGAACGATGCGGCAATGGCAGTTCTCCATGCTTCGAGATTCTACCGGTGCGTCTCGGATAATGCCCCTGAATCATCCCGTTAGTTGCTTGTATCTCATCACATCTTCCAGTGACTGACCTTGAGTTTCTTGATCAATTGGCCTCTTCTTCGCAACTTGCTGACATAAGAACCTAGGCTTTGACGCAGGCTCTTGTTCGCAGGAGATCTGGGAAGAGTGTTGCACACGTTCTTCACAACCTTAGCCCGCGGGTCTGAGACTACCCTCAGTATGCCTGGCCTTGGGTCAGACTGCGACGCGTCCTTCCAATGCAAAGAATTGGGGCGAGTGTGACTGTCTGCTTCAGGAGTGTGATGCACTGTCCAGTTAGGAGATTGTGGAGGAGTCACTGGCCGTATAACGTCACGCTCCACGGTTAAATCTTCTGAAAATCCAGCGAAGAATGGAACCCCGCTGTCCTCGAAAACAGAATCAGGCGGACTCGGGCAACACTGAGCTCTGGTTGTCCCTTGATCCTCTCCTGAAACACTGGGAAGCACAAGTGTTGACACAGACTCGTTGTCTTCGAGTGCAGCCATTGGATGCATTGTCATGAGCCTGCGGTATATAGCCGGCGTTGGTGAGCATGTGTCATAGGGGTAGGAGCCCCGTAGGGACCTTGGGTTAAACATGATGCACGTATGCCAATCCCAGATCCAGATCACAGGAAAGACACCAGTTCTGTGTCCTGGTCTTGTCAAGGCGCGAAGCCTCTTCCTGGATTCCGATTTGGCTGTTACTCTATACCGGGCTCAGGGTTAGCATCTACCTGATATCATGCTGAATGACTTCGAGAATGAGATGCAAAACATGACCGACAGATTTCACTCTTCAACAACACCAGAGAGTTACGAATCCTCACGCTAGACGCGTGCAGTCAACTTATGAGGTATACAGTGCACTCACCAGAGAGAGGCTTCAAGTCAAAGGAGAGTTTTGTTGATATGTGTTTAACGAAGGGTAGCAGGGTACGATGGTAGGTCTTTTGAGGAACTTCAGATGAGGGGGATAAAGAAGAATGAGGGTGAAAAGAAGAAGAGATTATGATTGCTGAGGTGACCAAGTGAGAGACAGAACAAGCTCTCTTCACTGTGTTGTATTCAGAAACAGCCCGTTACCCAATTAGGAAACGCGCGAGGTTTAAGCCTGGGCGCCTGAGGCACGAAGCAGGCACTGCAGAGCATTTCAGGATATGCCAGGAAATCTATCAGTGCTGTAGTGGGTGCATTATGCTTTGTCTATGCTACAGTGCTGTTCAGCGGTGTAGCTCTTTGACCCAGGGCTGTTATAAGGCATAACGGGAGCTGTGCTTGGCAGGCACTGCAGCTATCCATGATGACTTCTCTATATCCTGATATAATGCAAGATACAAATAGTACTAGAATTGTTGTGGTCGGTGTTGACCACAGCAGGCTTTTTCAGCGGGTATGCCTGTTAATGCGGACGTCTGCTTGAATTCCTTTCTGCATACTATGAATCTTATATAAACCAGGAACGTTAACAAGAGCAGTCATTTACTATGTACGCTACCTTGAGCTATTGAGCTATTGCAGTTCAAGTAGTCTTCTTAGGAGCAGGATCTATAGACCGCGTTTCCGTTTGCCTGCCTGAAGGGGCAAACCGACGCCAGCCGGTTTCTGCGCACCAGTCGCATCGCTCGACCACTCACTAATTTCCCACTCGACGGTCGTCGAGTGGTCGTCGCTAACACCCATCCCACGTCTCGTCTTCATCAAACGGCCCAACTGGCTACCTTCGATCATTTCCTCAAACCACGGTATCCCACCGAAGGTGCCTTGCCTGTAGCTCTGTGAGAGACCAGACCCGTCGGCCCCCGCGGCAGCGGGAATGACTACACGAGACGGAGTGGGACGGTCACTCGACGCTGCCGCCGGAACAGCAACCACCTTGCCTTCAGATTCGGGTTCCTCCTCCTCTTCCTCGTCCGCGTCTTCCACTTCACCCTCGCCAACTCTTGGCACTTCCTCAACTTCGTCGTCCTCCTCTTCATCCTCGTCATCAGAAGAAGGGACAGCTGGGGGAAGTAGATCCAGATCCTCCAGCTTACGTTGATGTTCGCCGAAAAGACTACCCAGAGACACACTCATGAAATCCGCCTCATCCCGGGGCACCTCGCTCCAGTATGTGAGTGGGGTGCCGCAGAATCCGCAAAAGACCCGCTGAGTGTGAGGCGCATGGTGCGGGGAGAAGATGCGTCGGATACTTGCATGTGTTTCATCGGGAAAAAAGGATTGCGTGTGCGATTGGTACCAAGATAATGGAACGCGAAGCCATGCCGTCAACGGTGAGCCGTGAAATCTTCCTGGAACGATGTCAGTACTTAATCCACCAAGAAGCTATCACTTCATCCGAGGCGGCACAACTTCCAAAATAGCGCACCGCCGCAGACCGGGAAAACTTACGGTTGTCTTGACTGGAGTCAAAGTAGACGTGAGCATGGTCGGTAACATCATCAGGCAGACGAATCAAATATTGATTGCGGCCGCATTGGCAAGATCCGCGTAGTGGTATGTGCTCAGCCATGGCTGCTGAAGCCGTGTGCGCCGTTGATAAGGGCTATCTGATTGTAGAAGCCTTCACGTTGAGACCGTAGCGCGAGTATGAGGTCATATATTGGGGAATTTGGGGTCCAACCAAACCAGATCAATTGCTGCAAGGTTCACAGTCAACGTGATGGGATTGATGGCAGGAAAGACAGGGGAGGCCGATGCGCTGGGCGACGGGGGGGAGCCTTGAAGAAATAGGCATGTATCGAGGGGCTCTGAGAGGGTGGCATGGTGAAGTCCACAGTTGATCTAGAAGCAACCTGAACTATCGATGACGTTTATCGGCTGCCCGTGGAGACATCCGGAACAATTGACCAGTTGGCGCTCTGCCGCCGGCCGAAGAATAGGTCAGGGCTGGTTCCAGGGCCCCAGGCACATCACCGGCTTGTGCCTGAGGAACAAACAACCAACCCAAATGTTGGGTCTTTCTTCTCTCTTTCCTCCCCTGGTCCAGGTCCAGATCCATGGTCAATTTACCCCTGGGAGATCACCAGAGACATCTCTCTTCACGAGAGAATAAATCCTCAATCGTATCCATTTCGCATACGAAAGGCCGGGCTCGCTTCAATCCCATCATCATCTAGTCGACTCGAGTCTAACTTATACTTCCCCACGGGTAACTACTGTCTTCCGTCGCAGCCAAGCCACAACCGCCCCCAGTCCGGCAGTCCGTCACATGAAAATCCGACTCACCCGCACACGCACATGATAATCTCCTTTCCCCACGAACCTCAGGACCTCAAACAATAAAACGCGTATAACTCTCTTACACCAATCTCAGGCATCTGACGTCTGAAACCCATACTGCAGCTGAAACAAGAACGAAAGGGGTAAAAGAAAAAAAAGAAACTAAACTCCCTTGAACCCTAAGAAACGCATAACCTCCCCCCTCCCCCCCAAACTATGCCGTCTGCACGCCCACCTGCCTCCCTGGCATCCAGCTCCTCCGAAACCTCCTACTCCCCCTTACCGAACAGCAGCGCAACGGTACCCCGCGATGAACCCGAGGACCGGTCCCCTTCCACCACCCCAACCGGCACCTCTGCATCCAAACCCACTGCTGCTGGCGCGCAGGAGAAGGAGAAACCGCGACTGACGGAACAAGAGAAAAAGAACAATCATATCGCCTCGGAGCAGAAGCGCCGCGCCGCGATTCGGGAAGGGTTCGATCGTTTGACGGAGCTTGTCCCTGGCCTGGAGGGGCAGGGGCGCAGTGAGAGTATTGTGCTTCGGAAGACGGTGGATTTCATCCAGCTACAGCTCCAGGAGCGACAGGAGTTGGTGGCAGAGATTGAACGCCGGGGCGGGCATATTGACGATGCCTTTCGGGTCTGACCTACGTGGTTGGCTGACTGTATATGAGCAATGCTACTATTGATGACGATGACGATTACGATGATGATACGGGGGAAGGGGAAAGGGCATGATTGGGAGATATGAAGCAGCTTCCGCTTTATTGGGTACCAGAGTCTGAACATCAAGGAGAGGAAGGTGCAGTCTGGAACTGCTCGCTTGCTCAATGTTCCAGTGTGGTTCTATAGGAGAACTTGGTTGCACAGCCTTTCTGTTCGGCGCGTCACGGTTTGGTCGCGCCTACTGGGATCTCTTATCGCATACGACGCTTCTTCATGATGTGGAATTGTATGGTGTTCAGCGTCAATATTGATTCCTAGGTTGGCTCTGGGTAGGGCATTGACGCTGTGGATCACAAATGAGAATCGGTGGGGTTCATGTGGCATTTTCCGAAGGTATTTCCCTTGAGGATACAGCTGTTCTGTTGCAGGTCAACAGATTGCCCAGACCATAATATGTCCTTAGTGCAATTCAGAGCAAATATGATCATCTTACAAGAGCAACACCGGCGAAAGCGAGAACTCTCCATTCACTCAATGATGCACCCATTTACCAATACCACGCAGCATGGGAGATTGCATTCAGATGTGACACGACTTAAGTGGGACAGCAGCCCAGACAGCCAACCCCTTGCCTGTTGCCTGCATTGACTGATTGATAGCCCCCCCCCCTTCCAATCCATCTGCCGTGATTGACCGCCTAGATGTTGACGATTACCAAAAGCTTCAAAATTCGTCCGAATGCGGGAAATGCTCATAGCCAACGTGGGAATTCATCTGCACACCGTCTAATACTCCTTTCTTCCTCTCTCTCCTTCTCTACCGCTATACCTTTTGATCTCGGTTAGAAAACACCATACCACTCGCCGCCTAACCCCTCCCCCAAAACAGGAGAGTCAAAAATGTCCGACAGCAAACAATCCCTCCTCAACAACCTCACGGACCCCTCCGACCCCCCACCGGCCTACGACGACACCACCCCGATCACCACAACCGCCACGAAACGCATGTCGTCGCTCCCGCGGCCCCCGCCCCTCTCCCTCCCCATCCTCAACCACCTCCGCAGCCAGCGCGTCATCCTCGCCTCGGCCTCCCCGCGGCGCCGCCAGATCCTCTCGCAGCTGGGCCTGCCCAACCTGGAGATCATCCCGTCCAACACGCCAGAAGACTTCCCGAAGACGATGGAACCGTTCGAGTACGTTCTGGCGACGGCGACGGAGAAGGCGCAGACGGTCTACCGGCAGGAGATCATGAACGAGGCCAAGGGGGAGCCGGGCCTGATCCTCGCGGCGGACACGATCATCGCCGACACGGCGTCGGGCCGCATCCTGGAGAAGCCCCGCTCCGAGGCCGACCACTTCGCCATGCTGAAGGCGCTGCGGGACGTCGGCGAGCACAAGGTGTACACGGCGATGTGCGCGATGGCGCCGCTCGTGAGCGCCCGCGACCCCGGGTATGCGCTGGAGACGGCGCTGGAGGAGACGGACGTCAAGTTCGATCAGGGGGTGACGGATGAGCTGCTGTGGGCGTATGTGCGCACCAGGGAGGGCGCGGATAAGGCCGGTGGGTATGGGTTGCAAGGGTTGGGGTCGATCTTAGTCGAGAGGATCGAGGGGAGCTGGGATAATGTGGTGGGGTTGCCGTTGCGGTCGGCGTTGCAGTTGATGGAGAGGGTGGTGGCCAAGGCGGATGATGATGATCGCTTGTCCGGTGGGGAGGAGGATTTGTTGGAAGATGAGGAGTAAGTTGGTGGAAAGGGCTATCGGCTGTTTGGACCTACCGATTTGTTGGCAATTGGAAGAGGAACACACATGTTCGAAATATCTACGTGACTCGCTTGCCTTACTTTGGCAGGGCCATACATACACTTGAATCTTGCGCTGGGCGTTTAGATAACAATAGAGAGAGAGAGAGAGTTACAGGTCGTAAAAAAAGAAAATAATGGAATAATCTCAAACCAGATAAATCACATACACAATACACTCATTTTATGCTCCAGGGTAGTAAAGATTTCAGTACTGGCATCTACCAGAGGGAAAAGGAAGACAGCATATACATAGGCAAAACGCCTTCAACAAAACAAACATCAAACAAGAACAGCACCCCAAATTTATGCCTTCCACACCCTGCGGATAGCCTCCGTCACACCAACATCGTTCGTCTCAAACTCGTACAGACCAACGGCTGTGCCGAGCGTGAAGGCACGCAGCAACCACTTCATGAATGCGGCAGTCTTGGGCACACGGCGGACAGGGAAGTAATCAGTGATAGAGGCGCTAAAGAGCGAGGGTTAGCTTCCTGGCTGGTTCGGGCAAAGACGACAATGTAACAGGAACGTACTCGAAACCGATGTGAGAGTGAACGACAATAGCGGAGCAGATGACAGCGTCCATGACGGGGCTCACAGAGCCGGCGGCGAAGGGAGCAATGCAGAGAGGGACGAGGGAAGCGGAGACGAGTCTATACATAAATGATCAGCGCTATGTTCCATTTTGGTGATCCCGGACACCCGAATCGACGCACCTTTCAAAGGTCCAGTGGTAGCTACCGTGGACGGGGTGGGAGTGAGGAATGGGAGCAGGGTCGTTCACTAGAAGTCGAGAAAGAGCCAACGTTAGAAAAGTCATGTCCTTCGAACTGTCCGTGGTCGTCATCGATGCGCTGCGGAAAATCGAAGGTTTCTCTTCGATGGACCAGAAGCTCTTCAACGGCCAACAAGGCCATCTTCTCATCGCACAACGAATTCAGGCTTGAGGAAGGTTGATTGATAGAAATAACATACTGGTTCCCTGGATGGACTCTGTTTCATTGATATGTTAGCATCACCATATATTTCATGAGTTCCAATCGATCGCCCCCTCCCCATGTCTATCCCCCACAAAAGCTCATCCACACCCCCGCACAATCTCTGTGGACCGCCAACAATCACACTCAAAACGTTTTCTCAGATAAATCGCGGGCGACTCACGAGGCAGAGGAGGCAGAATCTGCTTGTTGGCAGAGGCGTGGAAGGCCACGACCTGCGACACGCCGGCGGCATTCTTGGAGGCCCAAGGGGCGCGGAAGGCCGACAGGCAGGACTGCCGGAGGAGGGGCGACTGGCGCGCAATTGAAGCCATTGTGATAATCTAGGAGGGGAGAGTCGGGTTGCAACGAAGAGGAAGGGTGAGAATCGGTGATCGCGGTTCGACAGCGCTACAGCGAGACAAGAAGTTGAAGTTGAGACTCGAGGCTCAGGATGGAACCTCGGGAGTCCGATCGGGAAACGGTCATCACATTGTCGGGTCCGTGATTGGTGCGTCGCTCTCCGCCCAGCCGAAAATGGCCGACATCCGGCAATACCATCTACAGCTGGAAGAATGTGCAATGATGCATGTAAGATGGGGTAGATCGGCTTATCCTCCTTTGTAATCATGTGGGCTGCTCTGACGCCTGGTAACTACAGAATGCCCCTGCTAAGTCAGTAGAGGGGCATTGGGGTACATACTGGAAAGGCTGTGGGAAAGAGAATGCATATATTTCTGCCTCAGGCGCAAAAGCATTATCGTTTCCCGAAGCAGCCGACGAGGAGAGATTATCTGAGCTCTTGGGACATAGGTTGATTGATCATGTGCGAATCGATTGTACTCTTATCTGGCTAACTATGGAGCAAAAACAAAAAAACAAACAAAACAACGGTTCAGCTCTGCGAACGTATACGCTGATGTTTAACACTATCTTGAGAGGTAGGAAACGAAAAATGGCAAAAAGACAATGCGATGCACCCGATGGGGATTGAACCCATGACCTTCGCATTACAAGTGCGACGCTACTACCACTGAGCCACGAGTGCAAGGATATCTACTTTGTGCCTAGACCTTAGCATCCATAGATGCTGTGTCTCTTATTCCCCGCTTTAGGTCTATCCATTCAACAGGAAAAGCTTAGCACATAGCTACATCGTTGTTTGGCCTTGTTTTACTGGTGATCCGATCTGAAAATGTCTATGAGATGGAAATCTTGTACTCTAGTTTTATCTGCGACCCAGCCGTCTACCGTTTCACCGTAGTAGACAATAGTACAAATCATCCAGAATAGAAACATACATGGTAAAAGAAATAAAGGTACTGGGTGCTTGAGGATATTATACGAGAAGATGAGAATAAAACAACCAACCGGTTCAATGACCAGACCGCGGAATCTACTCGCGGGCGATCATGTCGTCACGAGCAGGGCCGGTACCGATCCACTTGACCGGGACCCCACCAAGACCGCGCTCGATGTACTCGATATAGGCACGGGCGTTGGGAGGCAGATCCTCATACTTCTTGATGCCCATGGTCTTGGTCTTCCAGCCAGTGAGAGTAACGTACTCGACCTTGACCTTCTCCAAGACCTCGGGGTCGGCAGGCATGGTGTTCTCCGTGCGGGTGCCGTCAGGAAGGATGTAAGCAACACCGACCTTGATCTCGTCAAAGTCGTCCAGAACATCCAACTTGGTCAGGTTAAGAGCAGTGTAGTGGTTGATGGCCTGCGAGTAGCGGCAAAGGACCATGTCAAACCAACCACAGCGACGGCGGCGACCGGTGGTGACACCAAACTCCTTACCAACACCCTGCAGCTTGTCACCGAATTCATTCAGCTGCTCGCTGGGGAAGGGGCCTGAGCCGACACGGGTGGTATAAGCCTTAACAACACCAATGATGGAGGTGATGCTGGTGGGGTTCAAGGACAGAGCCTGGACAGCACCACCCAAGCCAGTCGAAGAGGAGGTCACGAAGGGATAGGTTCCGTGATCCAGATCAAGCATCAGAGCATTGGCACCCTCAACCAAAGTGTTGGAGGCATCCTTGTATTTCTGCAGGAAGGCCAATTGGTCGACAATGTAGGGACCCAGGCGCTGGCGGTACTCCTGTCAACGGGCCGTCAGCATCAGCGTCCGCACGAAGCTCCAACAATCACCAAAGCCTACCTTGAAACGTGCAAGCTCCTCCTCAA